TTCTGGGAGCTTTCTACGAAAAAAGAAAAAGATTATAAGACAGTAAAAGCATAAAAAAATGAGACAAGCAACGTCCTTCCTTGTTGTTATCAGGTCCATTCCATTTGATGGAGCTGAGAAACGCAGACTTAAGTTGAAACACTGGGTTGGTATCACAAAGCAAATAAACACTTCTAGGAAGTCAGTATTATCCCTGCCTTTGGAATCAACGTAACTAACAATTACTGTTTCCTATTATGATTCCCTATTTTGTAGAGTGATGACTCACATTTTACCACCCAGCAAACTTGCTATCGATTCTATTCCCCTGAGATGAATAAAAAAAAGCAAAGTAAGATAAAACCACCCAGTCTATGCAAGCATGCCTGGTGTTGAACCTGGACAACCCTGATGAGTCAGGAGGAGAAGACTGGGATAAAAACAAAAAACGCTTAGTAAACGTGCTGGGGGTTTGGTGAGCTCTCCTTGAGCGCAGCAATGGAGCTGTGTCTGGAACATGCAGCCCCTTCTCTCAAGGCCTCCTGATGGCCTTCCTAACACCAGCTCTACCCCAGTATTATAACGAATATTGGTTTTTAAAGTTAAGTTGAAAGAGGGAATTTAATCTTTTAAAATAATTCCAGTCAAATCTCACTAGAACAAAATTCTAAGGGAGTCTCTGTTACAATCCTGTAACACGTATTTGATATTGCTGGAAATAAATGAACTGTCATTTACAAGACCCGAATATCTTCCATGTTAGACTGAGATTTTCATTATAATGGTTATTAAACAGATTTTGAAAAATACATATAATTCTAATAATACATAAGAGTTAAGAAACTTTTAAAACTTAATTTAGAAATAATTAATATTCACAACTACAGGGTAAACTGGATGAAGACCAGGTATTACGCAAAAGATAAAATCCTTGAAGCATAAAGTGAATTGTTTTAGAGCATACAAAAAAACCCAAAGCTTTTTACTCTCCATCTAAGTGGTATTTTACAGCATGGAATTTTACATATACTCCAGATTCTACAAAGTATCTCTAGGGTTCTTTAGGGAAAAATATACAAATAGTCTATATGCACCACCCAAGCCCTTGTTTGCAATGGCCTGAAAGCACACATCACCAACGCTCAGATTCTGGCACTACTGCATTCAACCAAGTCATCTCATTTTGAGTCTCGAACACCAGCGGAAGTTAAAAATGAAATAAAGTCCTAGAATCTAAACATCCGGGTGTCTCTGGCTTGAATGCTACTTTTTATATAAATAGCCATGTGTTACCTGTAATTAGAATATATTTGGTAAACTACAAAAAGAGCCGCTGAAAGCCACTCCAAACACTGAAGCCCATTGCTATTCAGCACTCTGTTACTCTCAGACACAAGTGCAGCCAAACCAACGCCAGCCAGGACAGCCACCACTGCATTGCTCTGCATCCAGAATCGTTCCACCTGTGAAAGGGGAGCACAAACAGTACGTCCAGTTGGCTAGTTTATGCAATCAATCAGGTACTTACATACTTTAAAAAATATATTGCATATACCTAGTTGCTTGTGCCTGCTGACGTTCAGGTCTTGTTAACTGACTTCCCCAGTCCAAGCCCAGACCACTTTATTTCTCAGTTTTCAAACATTCCTTTCACAGTTTGACATGTGTATCTCCCTTACTGTATCCACACACTCATTTCAATACTGTGGCCTTGGTCTTGAACTCCAGCAACACACAGGGTGGAGGAGATAGAGAAATGCTTTTGCATTACTCCTGATGTTTCCTTCATGTGGAGAAGCTCCACTAGTATAACAGTCCTGGTTTCTCTCTACCCCTCACTTATTTCCTGCTATAGCACGCACGGACTGATCTGCCTGCGGAGTTTGGGAACTGTGACGGAGCCTGCATGGCCCTCCCTCTGCCCCTCCCTTTCTCTTGGAAGTGAGCTGCCCACAGGAAGCCCTTGTCCAGGGGCAGAGTCTGTCCCTGTGGTACCAGTGGGGTAGGAGTGAGGCAGGAGAGGCCTGTGCAGCACTGCCTCTGACGAGTGGGCAAGCCTGTCCATTCTGGGATGCAGTTTGAAGCCCCCTTGTCTGCAGATATAAGCCACATTCTCCAATCTCAGTGTTATCATTAATAAAGGTGATTTTCCCACTCATCGTACTGGTTGATTTTGCTTCTCAATCAATTCAGAACTCAGGTGATCAAGTAGGGTATTATTATTAGGCTTCTCAAACACACACACAAAAAGACCACTTGGTTTCAGCTGTCAGAAAAGAGCTATCTATGTTTACAGAGTTTCTATTATAAGGAGAAGAGATACCCTAATCTCAGCCATGGCTGCCAGGGAAACAGAAACCCAGTTGCTCTTTTGCACAGGCCTGGGAACGGTGAGGTAAGAAATAAGGGAATATGTTGGCAAACACCCCAATTACAACCCATACTTCTATTGCTATTTTTAAAAGGATTCCAGGAGAAATGCAGTTATACCTATATTTGCAAGCACACACACACAAAATGACTAACTTAAATCTACTTTACATTTGTTTCTCTATTTAACTACTGTTTTTACATTTTGCTTGTCTTTTTTTCTAAAAAAGAGGTCTTAGCTGTACTAGCTTCATAATTTAACTTTTGATTTATAAAAATATATATACAATTTTAACTATTTCTGAAATAATTTTCTATTTTACAAGATTTATGAAAGATAAGCTTGTACATTCTTCACAAACTTTCTGGTCAAAGGATATGTATCTAAGTAAAACTTACCACACCCATGAAAAGTGGGTTCGAAATATCTAAATTTGCCCTC